CACAGGTTTCACTTCACCCTTTGCAGCCGCCGCCTTTCTTAGCAGAGCCTCTGCCAAGGTGGTCGCCTCTATTTGGGCAGAGCACAGCCCCCTTAGCAGCTCAGCCTCATTGAACCTGGCCGAAGAGCGCACGACTCCTTTGTCCACTACCCTTAAAAGAAGATCTGCAGCTGTCTTGGCTGGGCCTCCTTCTCCCTCCAGTCGCCCATACACTACGGGAGCATGGTAGATGGCATACTTCACCTTGACCCTCTCTCCTTGGGGCGCAGGACCCCCCTTAGGCTGCTGCTCTATCACTTCCTCAGGGTCAGCTGACCCACTTTCCAATTGCATCTTGGGGTGTAGGGCGCTTACGTGCTCTTCTCCCTCTTGGCCCCCTTGACTCTTCTCCCCATGCGCCTCTGGGACAACCACCCCTTCTGGTGTAGCCCCCACTCCCTTCTCCTCTGCCTTCTCCGCCATGGGGGTAACCTCCCCACCAACCCTCATCTTTTTCGACCCAGGCGCATCTGAAGCCCCCTTAGGGGCAACCCTCATCTTCTTCTTATTTTTCAAAGCCTCTCCCTCCTTGTTCGCCCTTTCCTTAACCAGATCAGCCAGGGGCGGTTGTGGCTCAAAACTGCCCAAGTTCTTTTCCCCCAACGGCTTGGGGCGCGGTCAGATTCTTTCCCTCGCGATCGACTTTGGTGGCTGGCCTAACTGCGCTTCTTTAAACTGATTGGCCTTGGCGAAAATGGTCCGATCCTCCGCCTCTTGTACTTTTCTCCTCGCCTCTAGCTTTGCCGATGCCAGATCTTCACCGGTCGGCTGAGGGCCCAACCTTGCGGCAAACAAGGCTGACGGCTGAACGAGATCGTCCCATCTGGCGCCCTCTTTCTCCCTCCATGCCTTCACTTTCTTCACCCTCTCCTCCACTGCCGCCCCCAACCTTGGCTCCATAGACTTGGTGGGCACTCTCCACACCGTGCGCACTCCAACTCCCCCGTTTGCAGACACGTAGAACCACCGCGGCCTCCACCCTTTGATTGATGATGGCAACCCCGCCACCAGTCCCCTCCCTGCCACCGCCTGCAAAGTGACCCAAGTTTCTTGCTGGCTCGAGGCCTTGTAGCACGCAAAGAACTCATCCACCGTCATAGCCTCCACTTCGTTCACTCTCGGCCACGCACTTGCACAGGCCAGTACAATCTTCCATGCATTGGGCATTAGTTGACCCGGCGCCACCTCCAATCGGTTTAGGACATCCACTACTATCTGCGGAAGCGGCAACCTCAACCCTCCCTTAAATGCCTCCTCGTAGAGGGCAAACTCCCCCGGCCAGCCGTCGGATGGCCTCTCCGTTGGCGTCGGCAGCATTAACTCTATTTCGGCAAGAACCTGGTATTTTTCAGGCATACCCTCCAACTCCTCCGCAGTAATAGTCGACTTGTTGGCCTTCGTATGCCAGTGATTTGGTTCCGCCTAGCTGATTGGCTTCGGAGCCGTTATCATGGTGGACGAACGAGGTCGTCCCGCCGGTTCCCCCCTCTCCCCACTCGCCCCTCCGTCCTGTATTGCTCCGCCAAATCCACCGCATCGTCGTCCCCTAATGGGTCAACCCTGGTGGTTACAGCTTCCTCTTGGGCCATTTCTGTGGTATGTCTGCGAATGGCTTCGAATGTGAGCGCGAGAAAATTTACAAAGTGTCGCAAGGGTGTATCACTAGCAACGAAGGAGTTTACACTTGGAATATTTTGGTTGTTTGCAAAGAGGTACATAAAACGGATAATACCAAGCGCCCAAGGTTTGCCCGTATTCCAAGGGTCACAATTAATTTTCGCCAGTTTGAAAATTTTCAAAAATCCGCCAAAACTTTCTTTTCAATACCCTATAATGACCTATCGTTTCACTTATTATCCAACGCCTAACCTCCCCTACTGCGCGATTCTGCCACATGTATGACCACGATCCACTGTCTCTTTCCCCTTTCCCTATTTATTCCACTTTACTTCAATACGTGCCCCGCCGCCTCTCGAGCCCCACGCCCCACCACCTCACCCTTCGCGGTCGCCCCTCCACTTGGACACCCTTCGCGGTCGCCCCTCCTCATGGTTGGTCTCTCCGCTTGGCCACCCTTCGCGATCGGCCCTTTTCATGGTCGGTCTCTCCATTCGGCCACCCTTCGCGGTCGGCCCTCCTCGTGGTCGGTCACCCCTCTCGGTCGACCTTCACCCTACCGGTCTCTCACATCCCTCATTCTCTTCATTATTCCCTTCGTTGGACTAAAGTTGTACTTGGGAATGAGGGACTACTGACATGGATAGGCTCATAAAGGTTATAGCCCACCATTTAGGGCCCAATACATATCCCAAATATTAGAGCCCAGCACTGCTGAAACCCTATGTAGCAATAAGAACCAATGACATCAAGACACATAGCAAGAGACGGGCAAGCCACATCAGCAGACAAAGATCTGCAAAGTTATTGCCACGGCACATCGCCATTAATGAGGCCCCCTTACAGCATTTATTGCGATAACCCCTCTCCGTTGGGACGGCACGCCTTCACCCTGAACAAGGGAAGCTACAGCATAGACTTTCGGCCAAGGTGACAGGTCGGAAGAGACAACGAAATGATTACCAGAGGATATAAGCAGACGTTGAAGACAAGAAGAAGGTTAAGCTTTTCTATCTCTAATCTATCTCTACAATCCACTTCTCTTTCTAACTTGCTCGTCGGAGGGTTCGCTGGGGGACTCCCCGTTCCCCGTTGAACTCTTGTGCAGGTTCTCTGGTGGGCTTGATCACTCGGATACCGGTTGGAGAAGCGTGGATCAGTCCGACCCGTCCAAGTCTCTTGTAGTATCATCAAAAACTATCACTAATTCATTCTCTCATTCATATTCAGAAATTATTTCTAACTCACTATTGAAAGTTCTCCCACCTATTGTTCACCTCGTTGGCATTGGATTTGTAGAGGCAAATGGACTGGATGGAGTTAGTGTCTCTCCATCTCCTTCCAACATTTGCACCACAATTACATTTCAGTGGATTAGTCGAGAAATAATTACATTTTTATGGTGGTGCAAATCTCCTATGTGAATGATGCAAGTTCATTCATGTGCTTGGTACAAATCTTTCTTATGTGTCAAAATTGTACCAAAAAATATTTTCATCTGTAGTGTAATTAATTTTTAACTGTTCTACTTATTTGCAATTTATCCTTTTATAATCTCCTGATTTTAATTTTCAGGATTTGACTCTTGGTACTCTAACTTGACAGACTTTTCTCTAATCCATGCAAACAACTTTCATTATGAGGCACCAAATAACTAGTCTTGAAATAAGTACATACCAATGGACTTAACAAACACAACTAAAACTCTCAAACAAAAAAGAGAGAAGAACAAAACCTAAATTCTCTAATTGATTAAGAACAAGAGATAACTCTCACTTAAGACCTCTAAAAAGCTATCAAGGATTTATGGAGGACCACCAAAGCAAAACCTACAAGACGTTGTCAAGGATGCCAAGATTCCACTAAGATTTGTGGTAGACTGCCAAGCGAAGATTTACAAACAAGTTCTACTCCGAACCAATGAATAATGATATTCCAAGATTAAGGAAAAAGGATCCCTGAAAGATCATCAAATAAGGAGAAACTTCCAGAAAAACTTTTGAAGAAGTCAATGGCCTCTCTCAAAAAAGATTTAAGATGTTCAATCGAAGGAGAGAAGGTCTACACACTTTTTTAGCCAAAGGGTTCTTTAAAGCTAAACCAAAACAAAGTTGGTTTTTTGCAATTCAATCCAAAACTAATAGGGAAACACCTAAAAGATAGCTTTAGGCCATTGATGTTATTTAGACTACCATTACTGGGACAATCAGACCTTCATTTGTCAAATTTTTGAGTGAAAAAATAATTTAATAGGAAAACATATATCTTTATCTTTATTATGCTATTGAGCATGAAAAATCTAAAAATTCCCCAGATATTGATTTGTGATTATGTATTGATTTTAACCAGTAAATAGTAATCCCAATCAAACAATCAAAGACAAATCGACATAACGATTTTACGTGGAAAAACCACAATTGAAGTGTCTCCAATTGTGATAAAAAAAACCACGGGCAAAAGCCACAAAACAATTCACTAAGAAGATATAAAGAAATTACACAAGTGTACTCTTAATTACCTAGCAAATCCACACCTGAATTGAACCGACCCCAATGTGCCTGTTCCACCACCGTCTTCACCTGGGGATTGTCTTGACCAACGTTGAATCCACAACGCCAATGTCAAATCTACGACGATGCACCACTCTGGAATCCACCAAAGCTTCAGGCTCAAGTTCTACTGAACCTACCAAAGAACAACTCTCTCTTTTTTGAATAAAGCATACTAAACAAACCATTTTATATAATCCACTCAATTCATGATTAAATTCTCACAGATATCAAAGGAAACAAGCAAAGAAGCTCCAAATAAAAACCTTAATATCCAAGAAGAAGATCTGGAAGCCGTAACCCTAAAATCTAATAAAACCACATATTTATAGAAAACAGATCTGCGATCTCCACTTGAGCGCAAGAATGGCCGCTCGAGCGGACTGACTAAAACGTGTGTGACTAAACAGGGTCTACGCTCGAGCGTGGGAATGCCCGCTCAAGTGGAAAAAAACAACTCCCAGTACTTTTGTAGGCGAGTGAAACTTTTGAAAGGCCGCGATCTCCACTCGAGCGCAGGAATGGCCGCTCGAGCGGAAAACCAATTTCGAATGCAATTTTTCTTTTTGCTTCAGGGGCGCTGCTCCTCAACCCCGCCTGGGCGTTGCCCCGGACCCGCTAAGGAGGGCTGCCCCCTAGACCCCCGCGAGCTGATCGGGCAGCTCGATCCCCGACATAGTCAGCAAAGTAGCAAACATGAAAGAATTAACACCACAAATTTCTCTGCAAGGCACAATTTAGATTAGATTCGCATCTAAAAACTCATAGACTCACTGAAATAAAAGTTGAATAAAATTACAACTGAAAAGAGTTTTGTCAAACGGGATTGCCAAGAACAAAAACCTAATAGAGCACACCATTACAAGAGGACTATCAATACAAAGGACATGCACAAGATGTAGTATTGAATGGATATAGTAATACATTGATAAACAATTAATTCTACACTCATTGGTAAGAACAATGAGATTAATTCCTATTATATAGTCAAAAAAATCTTGAAAAATACCAATAATTCATTCTCTCATTCAGATTCAGAAACTAATTCTAAGTCGCTATTGAAAGTTCTCCCGTCCATTGTTGCCTTTTTTGGCATTGGATTTGTGGAGGCAAATGGACTGGAAGGAACTGACAGAGTGTCTTCATTTCCTTCCAACATTTGCACCACAACTTTCATCGATGGTCGGTCCACTGGGTACCATTGTATACACCAAAGTCCCACAATTATTAGTTTCTTTATAATTTTTGCATCCCCAACTGCCTTAATTTGAATTCCTAGATCTTCTCCTTGATCCAAACGTTTGTATATCCATTCTGGAAAGTAACACTCACTTGTGTTCTGTGTTATCGTATTTTCCCTCCCTCCAACCATATCTATCAACAACATTCCAAAACTATAAACATCTGATTTGTATGAGACGTTCCCAAAGTTCCTGGAGAACACTTCGGGTGCAATGTAGCCCACAGTCCCTCTAGCGGCAGTCATAGATACAACACTTTGTTCCTTTGAACACAATTTTGCAAGACCAAAATCAGAGATCTTTGGGTTAAACTTGTTGTCCAACAAGACATTCTGAGGCTTAATATCGAAGTGCAGGATTCGTTGATCACACCCGAGATGAAGATATTCAATTCCTTTAGATATGCCAAGAGCAATGTCATGCAATTTCTCCCAACCAAGTGAATGCTTCTCTTGATTAGAGGATATGAATTTATCTAGTGAATTGTTTGGTAAGAACTCGTAAAGCAAAGCTCTTCTAAATCCGTCAGCACAATATCCCACCAAGCGAACCACATTGATATGGTGGATTCTACCCATTGTTTGCACTTCATTGATGAACTCATCTCCGTTTCCTTTCACATTGTTGAGGATCTTGACTGCGACATAAACATCATTGGAAAGCTTTCCCTTGTATACTATTCCGTAACCTCCTTGACCTACTTCCTCCTCAAATTGATTTGTTATTTTCTTGATATCTGCATAAGAGTATCTTGCAGGCTTGAGAGCTTTGTAATCCTCCAAAAATTTGTTGATCTTTGCTTGATCCTCTTTTTTCATTTTGTTTGATCTATATATTGCAATGATAACTATAACTATAACACAAAGAGTCAGACCCAGGACTCCACCTGCAATCATAATAGACCATGTTAGTAAATTTCTACCTCCTCATCGAAAATTTAAATTAAAGAGAGGATGGACCAATTCACCTGTAATCTCTAGTTTCCTCGATGTACCTGTAAAAGTATAAAAACTTCTTAAACTATCACCATTAAAATACATATATAAAAATTTTATCCTAGATTCATAATAAATGTATTTTTCAGCGCTAAAGAAAAGAAACTGACATGATGGAATCAAATATCCAAATAGGGTCAAACCTCCTCAAAATATATATATATATATATATATATATAAACCCTTAAATCAGCAAATAACAAAGGCCTAATCAGGTTCTCAACACATCCTCCATTGGGTGCACTACGTCTAACAAAAGCATAACCTAATCTATATATGGCACGACTTATCATCGACACACAATCAACAAGGCTAAGTAATCCAATAGATCAAAACAAAATAAAACAAGGGCATTGAAGCTAAAATGACCTTGTAACCCAAGGACGTTGGATTGAATTTTTTTATTTGAGTATATACCATTGAGTTGTAAATAGCTAAACAAAATCTAAACTATTGATTTGGAAAAATACTGACGTTGCCCACATCTAAAACTCAGATTGGATGTCCTGTTCAATTATCTGAATTAGAGAGAAGAAGTTCTGTCCGAATTTCAATTCAAAATTGTGGTGGAAGACGACATCAGTGTAAAGCAAACGCAATAATTACATATGAGACGAGATGGTAAACAAAATATAATAATCTTGACTTGATGTAAGAAGGCAGAAACTAGCTAGAGTAGAAGTGTACCCGAAATTGGTTGTCTGATGTTGCCAAAGCATTCAGTTGTTCCATTTAATAATTGGCTGCTGCTGTTGTTGTTGTTATTCTTGAATCTACAGTACTTGCCTTGTGCTTCACATTCCCTACATACCGGTTTGTTCCAATTCAATTGAAGAACATCAAATGTGATGTGTTGTTCATAACCACCAGTTATTTCATATGGAAGTGAGATGTTATACATCTTTGTGCAAAATAAATCTGGGAGTGACCATGAACGAGTGGCATAAACCTGGTGACTCTGGTTACTAAGGCAAGCAATCGGAAAAATACCAACAAAATTTGGATCGTAAGTCTGGGAACAACTGATGAAGTTAATGCCACTGTAACGGTCGGTGGAGTTGTCTGTTGGGAATTGGAAGGGAGAGGCAGATAAGCTGAGGTTTTGAAGCTGTCGTGGGAAGCATCCATGGGCGTCAGAGTCAGATATACTTATGTCAGATACAAATATGGTCTGAGATTTGTAGTCAATATGCTTAACAAAAACATTGACAGAAAATGGAAGCTGGAGGAGTGGGTATTTGGAATGAGGAATGCAAGAAAGATCAAAGCCATGATGATGATACCCACAGTTTTGGTGGTGATGCCCTTTGAGCCAGAAAGGGAATCGGATATCAGGGCCGCCCTTTTGACAGCAAGTTGTTGGCGTGATGCACTCATCATGTTGTTCTTCTGCTCCTCCGAGTTCACCTATAAGGACTATGAGCAACAGAATTCCTTGGAAAATGGCCATTTTAATTTAACTAATTAATGGCTATTTGATACTCTGATACAAAATCCCAACTACTCTCCCAAGTGTGTGTTGTTTGTTTTGTGGTGGAAGAATTTGTTGATGGCGGTGGAGTTGGGTTAGATAGACAATTTTTATACAGAGGTCCACAAATAATAATAATAATAATAATAAGGGTAAATCGTGCAAATTATCCATACAATTTACACAGATCTGTTAATTTGGTTTATCTTATTTCAATTTTTTTGATTTTGCCTCTTAATTTAATAGATTATAACATATTAGTCTAATAAATAACAGTTGTTAGGTTTTGTAGACGGAAAACCAAACGATGTGTAATTTACACGATGTGTCAATTTGGTCCATGACAAAATTAAGCAAATTAAAACAACAGAGATTAAATTGACACATCGTATAAACTATATAAACCAAATTCACACATCATTTGACTTTCTATCCACCAAACCTACCCGTTGTATTTATTGAACTAATATGATACAATCAATTAAATTAAGGGGCCAAAGCGAACAAATTGAAGCAATATGGAATCAAATTGACACGTTATATAAACTATAAGGATCATTTACATAATTTATCCTGATAATAATACTAACAACAACAACAATAATAATAAGGTCCACAAATAATAATAATAATAATAAATTATTAACAATGCTATATATTTAGAAAATTATTGAGCAAAATATATTTTGTTTGTTTTGGAGTTTTTAGAAATAGGTTTTGAGTTTTAAATTCGTATAGTTTTTTATTTTTAGTGAATTTTTGTAAATATTTTTCATTTGTTGATCCACTTAATATAAATACACTTAAAAAATTTATAATTTATAAAAAAATCTTTACAAAATTCAGTAAATACGAACAAAACAAAAAAAATATATTATAAATTCAGTACATTTTTATTTTTTCATATTTATTGAATTTTTAAAAAATTTGTGTACAATTTTTTTACTTTTTAAGTAAATTTAGATTAGATGCAAGTTAAAAAAAAAAATTGTCAGGTAGAAAAAAAAAAAAAAAAAAAAAAAAAAAAAAATTGTCCAAAATATTTTTAAAAATTCACTATAAATAAAAAATATGAATTGAAAATTTATTTTTAAATACTCAAAACCAAACAAATCATTCTAAGTGAAACTCACATTTTAAAAATCTTAAATTTACATCATAAACCTCCTTTTTGTATAAAATTCAAAATATTTTTTCATGAATCATAGAATTTCTATTAATTTATTGTGTGCCTGTGTCTATTGAAGAGTTGTTTCTAGGGCAGATCAAAAGTCATAAATTCCAATCTTAATTTTTTTCAACTTTTTTTTTCTTTTTTTAGTAATTTTGTTTTTTTGTTTTTGGGTCCATCAAGTGTAAAATGATTTAAAGAGTAAAAATAATAATTAAAATTAAGAAAAAAATCACCAAAAAAAAATTAAAAAAATTACACTAATCTCATGAATTATTAATTATCTCACTACTAATCCTACTAACCAAATAGGTCCAAAACGTATTAAGTTTTTTTTAAAAAACATTACGCAAAAGTTCACTGAAAAAAATTATAGAAGATTTCATTAATGTAAATTGAGCACAATTACACTGGCATCCCTTTCTAAAGGGAATAACACTAATGCACATTAAGTGAAAATATAAAGATAAATAATATAAAATATATTCATACATTTAAGTGTTAAAAGATGATAACATAATTTTTTCATTAATATGACTTATGAATTTATTATAAAAATAGACTAAGTGTTATATGAATTAAAATTTTAAAGCAACTCAATATAATTATACCAAACTTATAAAATTCATTATATTTTTTCAAATAGATCAATGTAATATTTTTTTAATGAATGCCAAGGGTTTTTTTTTTTTTTTTTGAAATTTAAAGAAAAAACTCTAGAGTTTGACATTGTAACAAAATGAATTATGAATTTTTAGTTATGTCATTTTAAACTCTAATCTTTTGATTGATTAATGTTAGATTTTCAAACGAAAAATTAGAGTTTAAATTGATAAAATTAAAAACTTAATAGGAGAAAATTATAAGTAATAATAAAAAAAAACTCTAGAGTTTGAGTTTTATAACAAAATAAATTCTTAATTTTTAATTTTATCAATTGAAATCTTAAACTTTTGATTTATTTCAATCTAAACTATTTTGCTATTTCGGTTAAGTAAAATTAAAGAAAAATTAGTATTTTAGTTATTAAATTCAATGAAATGTGTATTTTAAATATTTTATGTATACATACATTGAATTTAATGACTAAAATTTGTTTTTTTATTGATCTTATTTAGAAAAAATAGACAAATAATTTTGATTAAAAATAAATAAAAAGATTAAGATTTTAAATTAATAAATTTAAAATTTTAAGATTTTATTATGTCATAAAACTAAAGTTTTTAAAAAATTATAATTATCCTTTTCTATTGTTATAATGAGCAAATCTTAAGAATTTTTTTATCAACAATGATACATCACACTAATTTGGGAGCACTAATGGACCACTAATGAGGTGAAAATTCAAAAAAAAAAAAGAAAAAAAAAACTTAAGGCCAAAATATCACATCAGTCAGTGGGACCCACTCTCTAGAACTTCTTTAGTGCTTTCAGTTTAGAGCTCTCAAACATTTTTTTTTTTTTTATAATTTGTTTTCTTTTCTAAAGTAGAGTTGACTACAAGTGGAGTGAGATCATTGGCCCAATGGTCTAGTAGCATGCTTAGGGTGTGGTGAGTGAGATGTTATAAATGCGAGTTAATGGTCCATTTGGTGTAGTTGTTAAAATAGATTATAAATTATAACTTAACAGATTATATATTATGACTTTAATTAGAAGTTGTTAATCTGTTTGGTATAACTGTTAGATTATAGATTTAAGTTGCTGAGTAGTATTTGTTAAATAAGCTGTGAAGTAGTTTTTCAATTAATTTTTATTTTTTATTATTCACTACTTGTTTATATTTCTCATAAAAAATAATAATAATATTCTATAATCTATTTGGGTCTTTTTCTATTTTTAAAAAAATAAAAGATTAAAAAATTTAAGTTTAACCAAATAGTCCAAAATATTTTATGATAAAATTTTACCAAGGTCCACAAATAATAATAATAATAATAATAAAAAATTATTAACAATGCTATATATTTAGAAAATTATTGAGCAAAATATATTTTGTTTGTTTTGGAGTTTTTAGAAATAGGTTTTGAGTTTTGAATTCGTATATTTTTTTATTTTTAGTGAATTTTTGTAAATATTTTTCATTTGTTAGATCCACTTAATATAAATATACTTAAAAAATATATAATTTATGAAAAAATCTTTACAAAATTCAGTAAATACGAACGAAACAAAAATATATATATATAAATTCAGTACATTTTTATTTTTTCATATTTATTGAATTTTTAAAAAATTTGTGTACAATTTTTTTACTTTTTAAGTAAATTTAGATTAGATGCAAGTTAAAAAAAAAAATTGTCCAAAATATTTTTAAAAATTCACTATAAATAAAAAATATGAATTGAAAATTTATTTTTAAATACTCAAAACCAAACAAATCATTCTAAGGCCTCGTTTGGGAACAGGTTAATTTAGTAATTTTTTGACTATTTAGCTAAAATATGAGCTAAAAAAAACTAGTATGTTTGGGATGACTTTTTGACTTTTTACAAAAAGATGTGCAAAAAGTAAAGAAAAAATGGAATCTTTAACTTTTTAGTATGAGTTATTGACTTTTTGGCTAATTTAGTAACTTTTTGACTTTTTGATTAAAAGAGAAGGTTCCCAAATGAGGCCGAAGTGAAACTCACATTTTAAAAATCTTAAATTTACATCATAAACCTCCTTTTTTGTATAAAATTCAAAATATTTTTTCATGAATCATAGAATTTCTATTAATTTATTGTGTGCCTGTATCTATTGAAGAGTTGTTTCTAGGGCAGATCAAAAGTCATAAATTCCAATCTTAATTTTTTTCAAATTTTTTTTTATAGTAAATTTGTTTTTTTGTTTTTGGGTCCATCAAGTGTAAAATGATTTAAAGAGTAAAAATAATAATTAAAATTAAGAAAAAAATCACCAAAATTTTTTTTTTAAAAAAATTGCACTAATCTCATGAATTATTAATTATCTCACTACAAATCCTACTAACCAAATAGGTCCAAAAAGTATAAAGTTTTTTTTAAAAAACATTACGCAAAAGTTCACTGAAAAAAATTATAAAAGATTTCATTAATGTAAATTGAGCACAATTACACTGGCACCCCTTTCTAAAGGGAATAACACTAATGCACATTAAGTGAAAACATAAAGATAAATAATATAAAATATATTCATACATTTAAGTGTTAAAAGATGATAACATAATTCTTTCATTAATATGACGTATGAATTTATTATAAAAATCGACTAAGTGTTATGTGAATTAAAATTTTAAAGCAACTCAGTATAATTATACCAAACTTATAAAATTCATTATATTTTTTCAAATAGATCAATGTAATTTTTTTTTTAATGAATGCCAAGGGTTTTTTTTTTTTTTTTTTGAAATTTAAAGAAAAAACTCTAGAGTTTGACATTGTAACAAAATGAATTATGAATTTTTAGTTATGTCATTTTAAACTCTAATCTTTTGATTGATTAATGTTAGATTTCCAAACAAAAAATTAGAGTTTAAATTGATAAAATTAAAAACTTAATAGGAGAAAATTATAAATAATAATAAAAAAAAACTCTAGAGTTTGAGTTTTATAACAAAATAAATTCTTAATTTTTAATTTTATCAATTTAAATCTTAAACTTCTGATTTATTTCAATCTAAACTATTTTGCTATTTCGGTTAAGTAAAATTAAAGAAAATTAGTATTTTAGTTAATAAATTCATTAAATTTAATGACTAAAATTTGTTTTTTTATTGATCTTATTTAGAAAAAATAGACAAATAATTTAGATTAAAAATAAATAAAAAGATTAAGATTTTAAATTAATATATTTAAAATTTTAAGATTTATTATGTTATAAAACTGAAGTTTTTAAAAAATTATAATTATCCTTTTCTATTGTTATAATTAACAAATCTTAAGATTTTTTTATAATTTGTTTTCTTT